TGATGGTCATCACAAAACGGCTACCCATGATGCGATGGCTCAAATGCTTCCTGACTTCATCTGCCTCAGGGCCTAGGACAGGTCTGCCTGCATGCTTGGCGGTGATGGTACCCCATTCTAATACCTTAGCTTCATCGACCTTCTTCTGGATATCAGGGGGATTACCAAATGCAGGAATTTCTTTCGAGGACTTCTTCTTCATATAAGCAGCTACCATGACCTCATGAGGGGCACCTTCTCGAAACAATCGTACCAATGCCTTTTTGTCCTCTAGGGACAGGGAATCCGATGCTTGAGGAACCAGGTGTTTATCAAGTAGCTCAACTGAACAAACTGCCATCTCATCACAAGCAAAAGTCTGACCAGTCGGCTCAGCGAACAAGGCCTCGTCAGGTGGATCAAAGGCTGGTCGCTTATCTGCCGGTTCGGCAGTAGTGTCATCAGCGCCGTCGATTGATCGTTTAACACCCCGAGACGGCTGGGACGCCGAGGACCAGGCATGGCTCGGATCACTGGCTGCTTCTTCTGACAGGACTTGATTCACCAGTTCGGGAACGATTTCTTGCATCATTTCTTGGAAATCCTCTTGCAGCATGGGACCCGGGCGGTACAAGGCCATAGGACCATCCTTTTGATGGATCCGGCGACGAGGCTGACGAACAGGCCCATATGCCAGTTCAGATTCGGCAGACACTGGCTTTGGCTGCTCGGTCTGAGGTTCCTCCGGAAGCACCCATGACTTATCTACGAACTCGGATTGCGGTGGTTCGGGCACAACTGTTTGTGGAGCATCAAGTGGCATCGGAACCGAGACACGATCAGAGATGGACTGGGGCTCTTGTGTTGCAGGGGCACTAACTGGCGGTGGAGCCAGGTCGGATTCCTCTGGATGGCTAGGGTATGAGTCTGGCACCAAGTCTATGAACTGCCTAGATCAAATGCTTGATACCTAAGAACTCCATTTGGGGGGTCTCAACTAGCTTCTTTTCATCCTGAGTAGACGGTCGAAGTTGCTCGGGGGCACATCGGAAAACTTGCCTCTTATGAATGATGACTGCATTTCGACCCACATACCCCAAAACCACTGCGGGACCACACCAGCGCCCCGATTTCTCAAGAGCACCATGTACCCACTTTTGAGATCTCCAAAAGGCAACATAAGTTCCGGGACTATAGGTCTGTTGAACCCTGGGACGAGCGGCCAAAGCACGACGCAACGAGCGATCGTCTTGCAGTTCCAACACAGCACGTCGGGCGGTTTGCCGAATGGCTACCTGTTTAGCAATGGCTTCTTCGTAGAGGGCAGCAGTAGCAGGTATCACCTCCAGAGGTTCATCCATCAGATTCTCAGGTACCCGGGGGTTTTTGCCGAACACAAATTGTGAGGGGGTCATCCCATAAACCTGAACCAACTGGTTCTTACAGTGTGCAGCATGGACACATTCGAGCCAGGCTTCTTGTGTGCGGGGTACATGTTCAGCCATGATCTTTTCGAGAACTCTGGCAAACCACCCACCATGTACTTCACATTTCCCTAGCTGCCAATGGGCGTCAGCCGCTGTCAGCTTGAAAGTGGCGCCACCCTGTTCCATCGCCAGGGAGAATGCATCAGCGATGTTTGCGCGTGCAGGGTCACAAATGATCTCATGTGGCATGCCTGCCCACGACATCCAACGTTCTTGGAAGGCTTGACGAATGCTGTGTGCGGTTTCTTTCTTGAACAATGGCACCATGGTTTGCAATGAACTAGCATAATCCAAGATGTTCAGTGTGGGGATTCGCTGATTTCCTGACCAACCGGGCAAATACTTAACATCTATGCCTACGAGCGCATTGAACTCTACGATCCGTTGAGGTTGAGCAGGAACAGGCAGCCTTGGAGCTTTGTGAGCTTCACAGTGGTCACACTTGAATTTCCGAGCCGCTTCGAGAGCGCCCGCAAACGCACCACCGTGGCGGAGGATTCGAAGCATCTGTGCGTTTGTGGGGTGACCCAGGTTCACATGGAGATGTCGAAGGCTGGCGTGCAACTTCTGTTCATTCTCTTGTTCAAGCTCTTCTATGGCGCGGGAGGCTAGGCATTCTACATGCATATCACCCTCGTGAACGGCCAAACACACTCCTGACGGCAGTTCAGTCATGGTTCTCAGTACGGCCTTGACAAATGCCGGGGTATACTTGGCAGCATGTTTGCTTATGGAACCTACTCCACGCCCGTGGCCCGCCACAGGTCGATGTGTCTGATGACACTTGTGCTCGGGACCAGGGCAGGCTCTGCTCAGGCATCTCATGTCAGCATGGGACACCAGCAAGCGAGTGGCCTTGCGGATGAGCGGCCCGGATGGCACTCGTAACCCATAGCAACACATATCCACGGACACCAGGTGCATCCGATGCATCAGGCGTTTCATGATTGGGGTGTTCCATGCAACGGAATCCCGAGGATGTTCGAACAGACACCTTCCACCCAGTTCCAGTTGAATCTCCATGAGCTCACAACAGAATTGGATAAACAAGGAAGTCCATGTTTCACGAGTCACTACTTCATTTGGGCCCATGTACAACCGATTCAAATGCCACCAACCACCGGCCCAAGTGCAAGGGGGACATAAAACCAACAGGCGAGGTTTGGATGATTGCAGGCTTTCTTTCAAACGGTCTCGATCAGCTTTCTTCCTGAAGTCCCAACCAGTGCACAAATCTGCCGACAGGACTCGGTATCCCAGTTTCGCCCCTTCTAAAGCAAAACGAGGAGGTGAAAACACCTCAATCACGTCCCACGATCCGACGTTCGAAGACGGCAAATGATCCCTTATACCTGCGCCATCAGTTGTCGGTGTTGTCGAGCGGACATGCGCAACACTTGCAGCTGTTCCTCGAGAGCATCGAAGGCTGGCGGGATAGCATATTCACTTAACTTGAAAATGGTCTGTCCCGTCCATGGTTCATGTCCTACAATGGTGTGTGCGACCATCGAATCTTTCCAAGAGTCACTACGGTCCCTGGTGTGCGGAGTGACAACGTCGAACTTCGTAAGACGAGTCGGACCGAGCGAATCGAGGCTGACAGGGCACTGAGACATGTGAGGAGTAAACAGGGCTCGCCTAGGCTTCAGATGATGTCGGATCACGAGCCTCTCTTGTGGTCTAAACTCCCAAAAATCCTTCTTTTTCCCAACAGGGGGTTTATCGAACTGCACCGAGTGGCATGCAGCCGGTGGTGGCTCAGGCTTCTCGGACGGCTTGACTCGGCTTGGAAAAAGGGCTGCAGCATCCTCAGGAAAACACGACACGTTGACGGTGTATTGTCCAGCAGCATTCGTCTCCAGCGCAAGGGACGACTGGCCATCAAACAATGTCAATGAATCTCCAGCAAAATCCAATGTGGCACCCAACTTCTTGAGTGCGGGCCGAGACAAAAGGAGCGTAACATCGCCTCGCACAACCGCTGCCGTCACAAAGCCAGGCCGATTGGCCAAGAACACCGGCATCTCCACCACACGGGAGCTTGTCTCTTGCTCCCCGTTACCGAAGCGAAAACGATTCTGTTCCTTCTTCTCCAGCGGCGATGGCAGCTTGTGAGTTTCCCAAATCTCTGCGAAGGCCTTTCGAAGGGTCTTTTCTCCGATGATGGTTTTGCCACATCCACTGTCGAGGACGGCGTGTCCTGGACTGCTCACCAGAAGGACCTCGTGAGACGGCAGGTTCACGGAGGCAGCTGTACATACAAAATGCTCCGGCATCTCATGCACATGTTCCACTGTACCTGCAGCATGACTGGTTGCAGGGGTTGAGCCGGATGTAGAAGCCCCTTGGGACTTGCATTCACGCTGCCAATGTCCAATCTTCCCGCACCGTCTACAGCGAGTGCGCTGTTTGAGCTCCTCAACTTGAACTCGAAAGGAGCGTCGAAACTCCTTGCCAGATGCAGCTGATGACGATGTCCCCCTTTTGTCATGAGAGTGGAACTTTCGTCCTTTTTGCACCTGATTGAGTTCAGCTCGGCGTTCACGCCAAGTGGCAGCCAAAATCTCAGCGGCTTCCTCTTCATCATATTCATCTCCATCAACGGGATCAACTCCCTCATACTCACCAGCCAGGCCGTGTTCGGTCAGGAACAACTCCACGTCCTTGAACGACTCCTCGACTGGGTCTTGTGGCTCAACAGCTGGGTCTTCCACGAGGTGAGCGGCATTGAAACGTTTCTTCGCCACCACATACTCAGGGAAGCAGGAACGCATTGCTTGAGACAAAGTGTCAAACTTCAGGTCCCCTTGGGCCCGAGCCAAACAAACTGCACGATCACCTTCAGACATCCCAGAGCAGTTGAGGAGGATCCAACCACGAGCCTCCTCTGGAAACTTCACCCCGGTCTTCCGGGCACAGCGGTCGAAGCACTCGCGTGAGCGAGCGCACCACTGGCGAAGAGATTCGCCTTCCTTCGCCTTGAGGGCGAACACAGCAGCAATGTTCTCTCCAATCTCGTCTGTCCGGTCCAGCTCCGGCCAACGCCGGTCAAGCAAATCGAACAACACCTTGTCGCCGCCTTTGACTTGATAATCTTCTTCTCGGAGGTGCTCCACCACTTCTAAAGCACGACCGGACAAAAGCGTCCAGATGAAGGAACCCTTCGCTTCCTCTGTCAGCTTGTCCATCGTTCTCATCTTGTTCTGCACCCATTGCTTCCACCGACGATACTCGCGGTGGTCGCTCTCTTCTCCGCTAAAATAGCGAAGTCCACCAGAGCCAGATTCCATGGCAAAAACGCGGTCGATCGAACGCTCCAGCGACTTCCAGTCACCGGGGAGCCGGGCTATTCCCAGCCCCGCTACCAATGTTGGCAGCACACACCTATGAAGCCGCGATCCATGCAGCCCTTTTCCTCCTTGGGCATGAAAGTCCCTGGCGTCCTGACATGATACGCGGTCGATCAACATATATATATATATATATCTGTGTGACGGAATGAAGTTCAGACCGTGCACCACCGCGCGCCCGCAGGTTTGAAGGGCCGCAGACGGACAGCAAGTGGATAGGTTTTCGGGTCATTTGACGATGGCGCTCTACGACCAGGGTTCATGCTCAGGGCCCCCCAAAACCGACCCAGAGGAAGGGGAATCAAGCATGGATTGTCGGCATATTCCGGGAGGGGTTGAGTTCAGTGATTCTCTCAGAGTGTGCTAAAATGCACCCAAACCAGCAGATCATTCATCTTGTGGATGTTGCCTCTGGTGCTGAATATTGAGGTGTTGGCATCATGTTCAGAACCATTTAGTAGTTTATGGCTGGAAGCACCCGTTGATGCATTGATTTCGTTGGACCCTCCAAACTGGTTGAACACATTCAACACCTCACACGATATTGGAACGCTAGGTCCCTAGGATGAACTTAGAAGCGCATCATTTGACTCGGACGACATCTCTTGATCGTGGGGATGAGACCTTGACCACAGTCGCGGGCGCTCGCGGCTTTGTGGACCACATTGGCCCGTATTTTAAAAGACGGCGATTTTCCCCTGCTTCTGCAGGGCATGTGGGAGGCGGAATGCATGCGGAACACATGGACATCTACAAAGTTGTTTTCTTAGGCGAAATGAAGACATTGTGAATGGAGTTTTCCAGCAGGGTTGCTCCATCTCTCGCTGTTGAGTGTTTTCCTCCCTTTTGCACATCGCATCCACCAAAGTCAAGCCATTCTCGGCCTAACTTGTCTCAGTCGTTGTGACTTGTCAAGGAAAAGGTGTATATATCCCTTTCAGCTGTGAAGTGGCACATGTCACATGGAATTGGGATTCCCACGAGCTTCGGTGTTATTATTTGGCTGTCCATCAATCCTAGTGACCAGCACAATATGGAATGTCCTCAGCCTTTGGGACTGGCTGTCCCAGTCAGTCTTTAAATTGTGGACAGTGGAAAGAATGTGTTTACAATCCCCTTGCCAATATCCTCTATTAAATGGGCGTTTGGACCCCCCACTCATATTGGAATGGTGATTGTTTATATATACTGTTTTAAGAGTTTGCCAGTGCAGTGGACGTGAAGATCGGCGGCACTTCTTGATTGTATGAAATCTTGAAGGAACAAATCTCTGTACCCCAAGTATTCTCACTCATGCCCAGGAGCAAGAGCTGTTGCTCCACGCTACCCGCAGACATACATTCCTCCTCCGCTCACATGATCATTGCTTGACAGTACAGACTCTAGACCTTGGCAACAGTCCGAGCAAAAGACAGTGTGGCATCCGCAGATGCGAGCAGAAATGTGGCTGAGAAGCTGTTTGGAGGCTCAAACTACCTTCTCATGGGGTTTGTGGAAGGGCGGACGAATCTGCAGGTTGATGCATCCATTCTGTGTTTATGAGTTTATGTTGGACTTTGTTTGACCACAGTTGCCCAGCTGGCATCAAGGCAGGAGTGGAAACATGACTTAGCTGGGTTTTGGGGAGTGTTTTTGCAACCTATAATACCAGGACCATCGAATGGGTGTCCGATGGACTACCCTACTTGATCCAAGGCCAGAGGCGACAGAGGTGCGTGTGTTTGTATTGTCGCTGTATTTCATGCTGTGGAAACACGCGTGGTGTGGCACATGGAATCACACATACGACATGGCAAAGGCGGACCTTCATAGCAAGGGCGCTGGACCTGCAAAGCCTCACAGCGAGGGAGCGTAGCAGTTTGGAGTCGTCCGCCTTCACGAGTTGGGGTTCTTCGCGACCCGACGTGACCCGTGTCGCCGTGTCGCTCACGTTGGATTTCCAACCGCCTGTTTTGTAGAGCTGAAGTGATCTTCCTGGGATCGATTCTTCCACTTCCTCCGATGGAGCCTCGTCCTTTCGTGATTCCGCGCGAATACGAGCGACCTGTTGGTTTCGCCCTTTCCAGACCCCTTCGATGAGGTGCCATCTATCTTTGGAAGATTTGCACCCGGCGAAGTTGCTCATGCAAGCTTTGCTCCCTGGCGGACCGGTTCTTTGGGATCGGTCTGTGGTTCGGGGAGGGGAATCCACCAGTCCCCTTCCTCCAAGCAAAGGTAGGGTTAACGGTTAGGGCCCAGAAAAGCAGTTCACGTTTTTTTGAGAAAGGCCGAATCATCATCCACTGTCACTGGTAGTGGGGTATACGGTATACCCAAAGGGTCCACAGAGTCAAAACGATGCACTAGGCCTGGCCATCCCAGCCCAGCCGAACAGGGCATTCCCGGTGTTCATGTTGACACTCTTGACCAGCACGGAGAGATCAGGACAGTGTGAGACTGTGGGACAGCAGAAACAAGCACACAAAAAGCGGGATCCTGCTGCAAACTGACCAGAAGTTCGGCAGAACACCGGCGCTATGCATGAACAGCTTCGCTTCAGAGAAGAAAACCATCACATCCCCCCGTTTGCATGCGTTTTCCATCATCAAACCCTATAGCTCCAACCATATCCTCAGGTTCGGTGCTTAGACCTCCCACCCTTCTCCTTCTCAGGAGGTCGGCCGGAACCCGCTGGCCCCGCCCAGCCGTTCCGGAGCCAAGCCGCCCTTTTCGAGGTCGCAATGGCTACCGCTCCCTGGACCTTCTGGGCTCCGGCGGCTATGGCCACTCGGGTCGCACGACCGGGTCGTCTCGGGTCGTTGGACGGCATCATATGGCAGTCCCTCCTGCTTGGGAGTACTCGTTGCCTTGCATCAGGTGACCCCCCAAAGACCCCAAATCCATAGTAATTGGGTTCATTGAGTTGATCCACTGTATATAGGGCATGTAAATGAGTAGACAGTAGACTTGGCAGAAGGCAAAGGCTTTGACAAGCCCGGGTGGTTTTGCTGATCGCTGACTTCACAACCACCCTGGAAACACAGCATGTCACGCTGATCTTCCTAAAATAGCTCGGGCTCCAGTTCTGCAAGCACTCAAAAGAGCTTCGGTCTGCTCGATTGCCCTGTAGCAGTGCTAACCAGATCCTGATATTATAACTATACTTTTATTTCCACTGGTAGACAGCGGTAGACATATTGTAAGCCCAGAATTGGAGTGACCTAATTCTATGGGCTATCAACCATGTCAGACGGCTATCAACCATGTCAGACGAGAGTCTTCTCTCGGTCCATCAGCTGGACCGGTCGGTTGGTCGGTCGGATGTTCTGAGGCTCGGTGTATTTGGTCGAGCGCTTGCCGGAGCTTCACCGCTTCGTCTCCAAGAAGCCGCTCGGCGACCCCAAGCACCGGGGGCCCGCACGCGCCGGCGTGGTGTTGCTGCACTTGCTGCAGGTGCTGCAGGTGCGTATTTTTGGGGGGTGAAGAGGCAATGGGAGCGGACTGTGGAAACCGGCCCTGATGATTGTAAAACAGGAATTTGTTGCAGCGGCTACAGACAGCGAGTCTACGGCAAGCGCAAGAGGAAGAGGAAGAGGGTGAAGAGGTCTGCGAGGCTTCCGCCGCTGGGGTCTCAAAGATATATGATATACTGATATACTTAGTATCTGTTTTTATTAAGGGCCGCATCACCTGACCACAAACATGACTGGAATACACAGGATGAACATCAGAACAGGAAGACTTGGGATGGTTTAGGACGAACAGGATCAGTGTTTAGTTTATAGGTCAAGGTCACAAGGTCAGCCTGGAGACTTCAGGATTCCCGTGCGGGAGATCACCGAAGTGGATGAGTATAGCCGTGAGGCCAAGGACTCTTTCCGCGTGAGGAAACCCTCGGTGCCGTCTCGATGTCTTGGGTATACTGACTCGGCTGTTGGGCTTTACAGAAGCGAAGAGCTTCCAGGTGTGTGGACATTGCAATGACTCATGTCATTATTGCAATGAATCCGCGGAGCTCAAGTGCTGACATGGGACTGCCATATTTAACTACATTGTACTACATTGGGGTGGTTTGGAGGTTCAATGTAGGCATATATGGTATACATGGAGTGCTTGGGATTATATATGACATTATATGACGCCAGACATTCACCCCGGTTAACCACCCCAACTTCGGATCCTTGCCGGTCCGCGGGTGACGGGCCGAGTGCTTGCACCGGTTTATGACGGGCCGAGTTCGGAATGGCCAATGCGATGGTTTCACGATGAGCACCAAGTCACTCAGGGACAGGCTAAGGGTTTGGAACCCATTGCCATCCGATGAATCATGATGAATCCAGATCCTGAAAAGCTGCCTCAGGATGAAGGGTGCCATGTCTCCCAAGGAATGCACTGACCTGGATCTTCCAATTTCAGCTACCCAAAAAACAGCCCATTGATGCAACTTGATCGTCCTGCCTAACTCGAAACTCGACCAAAACCCCTCCAGGAGTTGATCATGCTCCGCCATCGTCACATCGTCTCCTATGAGGAGGGGGATGGTCAACCAGGTGCGACTAAAACCGCATGGTTAGCACCTGGTGAGATTCGTTGAACATGGTTTAAAGGTGTTTCCCACCCACCGGAACACGTTTCTGCTAGGTCTAGGTGTTGCTCTTGTTTTGATCCACACTACACATCGCATGACGGAGAAGCGATCGGGTCCTCCGAAAGTGGAGGAAAGGGGATCGAAGGAATCGAAGGCTGACCTGAACTTGACACTTTTTGGTGGGTTGAACATCTACTTCGTTTGTCACGCAGCTCGCAGGTTCGTTCGCAGAAAACCAGTCTTGCAGTTCACCTTGCAGCTGTCTTGCAGCCTTCTTCGCCAAGAAAGGAGACCATGCCAGCTTCGCTCCTTAGAAGGCTCCTTTTAAAGGTCCTTTTGAGCGAAGGAATCATTGTCCCTTGATCCCTCCACCCCAATGAAAGTCCCCACCTTTGCCGTGGGGGTCGCGGGTCTTGGAGGGTCTTGGAGGACGGAAGGCACCCAACATTCGATATTGGAGTACTGGAGGTCGGAGAGGGTGGTCTCTCCGAACAGGTCATGTTCTTCCGGTATTGCAGGAGGACTTTGTGCATGTGGAGTACGGGGGGCTGGAGACCAAGACGTGCTCTTGGGGGTTGCGAGAACAACGCGCGCGTACCAGGGACGTACTGTACCAGGCACTGGTTCAAGGGGCCGGTCCCTGTGGCTGGAAGTGTTCCAATGTCTTGCGAAGAGCCCCTTCACACTGAAGACTCATCTGCACGTTTGGC